GTTGCGACCAATTCGAGTTGCAACCAGAGTCACGGAACGGATTAAATTCGTAACTCGAGGTACCACTGTAACTACAATATTCTAATGCATCATTAAAATCAAAACATGTCCCTATTAAACTTTAGATTAAGACTGCTTGGTTAATACAACTGAGATCATTAAAACAATAACCAGGAAATTTTATATTATTTCTTACTAATGCTTCTATACCCCTCCAATCATGTGACTGAAAGCAGCTACATGACTGATCCAGAGCTTTAAATCCCAAACACTCCCATAGGCAAAATTAATAAATAAGTGGTTCCTCTGTGAGTTTGCTATGACATGATGTTGGAATTGTTTTATTCTTAGTATAGTATTTTAACCTTTGTAAACCGCTGTAGTATAGTTTACATGTACCAGCAAATTACAACCTCCCTAAACACAGAGAAATAAAAGCAAAGGGAGACAGTGTTACCTTTTAGTTCTGCTGCATCATCGGGGATTTCCGCCTCAGCCTTTTTTCTACACTCCTTGGGGATGGGGTTTGGCTTGGCATCCACCGCGTCCATTTTAATCGAACCAAGGTTCCTCAGGAGCTGCATTGCATCAAACCTCTCCCCACTGCCTTTGAGGCTCTCCAGAACTTTGAGGCACTTGTAAGATTTCAGCTCACTCACATTTTCCTCGAGGAAGAGCAGGTAGAGGCTCATATCATTGTAGTGCTTTGCTTTGACTTTGAGGACATCAAATGTTGGCAGAAGCTCATATACTTGCAGAATGTCTGAGCTCTGCCTGAATGGAATGAAGAAGGCATAGATCACCAGCGGCATGATCAGCACATACACGATGAAGTTGATATAACTCAGCAGCTGGAAGACCCCAACGGCAACCATTTTGCACTGAAATCGTTCTGGAATATTCGTGTCGTTTTTTAGTATCCCAGTTTTGACGTTGCAAATAAACTCATCGGTCATTGAGGAAAGACTGATATAATAACCCAGGAAGAGGCAAGCAAAGAGGATAATAATCAGTGTTAGCAAACGGCAAATAATGTATTTGATGATTAAGTTCTTGGAGGCTTTCTTTGTCTTCAGATATTGTTCCACAATAGGGTACTTAAAGTGGCTGTCAGAGATCTCCCATAAACTGGAAAACAAAAAGCCAGTTTCCAGGAGCATTATAGCAGAATTTCATTTGCTTTAGAAATGACATAACCCATTAATACCCAGCATTCCCAAGTACCAGTCTTTCTCTCCTTCCTTCTCCTCTTTTCCTCCCTCCCATTTCAACACATTTTTCAACGTTTGAAAAGAAATCTCAGAGTGAGGAATAATTAGCAATTCCCCAAAATTTAAACATGATTAAAACAATAATTCAATGTAAAAGAAAAGCTCATAAACAGCATGAGTATAGTACATGTATAGTACAGGACTGGATTAAATCAGAAGACACAGCAACATCAGTTTCACTGAACCTCTGGATAAACAAATATGTTTAAGTTGTGTGAGTCTGCCATGGCATGGCCAACAGAGTTTTATGCCATCTGAAATCTAGCTCATTAATGATGGCTTACACTTTTATAAGAGAGTACTTATAACGAGGACTACTCAGAAATAGCTAACATTCTGTTGTAAGCTGCCTTGGATTTAATTTGATTAAATGACAGAACATTAATCACTCTTTCTTACCCTCACATATAGACACACCCCAAGGGAGTAGGGAGGAGTGTTTTGAAAGGGAAGATTAAAAATGAATGTTTATAGAATGCACAATTAAAACAGAGTCATTATCCATTAGGTAATTCACTGAAGTCAATGCACAGAAGTCACTCTAAGGTTTTTTTCTTTCATATCTAACACATGCTGACCCAAACACGAAGTTCTGTGAACTTATGGCCATTTCCCTTGTAGGGCAGAGGGGCCAGTTTGTTGTGGCTGAAAAGTTGCACTTCCTTAAAAAGGGAATGTGCTGGATTTTTTGTTTTGTTTTGAGGGCTACAGGTGGTAAGGCTGGTGACATCACCAGAGTGGGCAGACTTAACTCTGGGGGCAGTTGTAGGGTTTAAAGTAGCAGCCGAAGGGCCTGAGGCCATGGGGGGAAATTTGATTTGGGAGAAGGGGCTAATGAGAACAACAGGTGCTAAGACCCTTTGCAAGACTCAAGGCACTTGTTTTCTCCTTGAAATCCCTAAAAGTCCAACAACAATCTTAAAAAAGACTGAAAACCTTGGCCTCACCCACTCCTGGCTGTTCTGAGGGGGATACAAAAGGAATGTCCAAGACTCATGGACTTCCCATCCTTATGACAGGACAAGTGGTCCTTGAGGTGGTAGTACACAGGATAAATGGCACCTAAGAGAGCCATGATGGAGTCAGTCACAAAGCTTCTAAATGTCCAGTTTGATCCATTTCTTCCAATAAGTGCTGTTTTCCTTGCAGGGCTAGTCCAATACCTACTCAGCTACTTGAAACAAAAGTCTGATCAGGCTGTGTTTGTCTGATACATAAGTTTGTCCTCCAGCAGAGGAGAACACCGGGGGGTGGAGGTGGGTCTGAAAAAAACTGGAAAAGTGGCAAAAGATATTACCTCTGTGCAATATTTTCAATGGGAGGCGGGGAGCTGGTTGTGTCTCTGGCATCGCAGTTACGAAAACTGTTTGCAGCTTTGATGGCTCTGTTATAAGCCTTGTCAAGTTCTTCCAAGATAAATTTCAGATCTGAAGAAAGATGGGGTGCTGCGGTGAAACGCCAAAAGAGCCACGGCAAGTACAGCAAGATTGCAAGCAGCAGAAGGATGTATGGGAAAAACTGAAGGAGAAAATCAGGAGAGAGAATCTTAAATCAGGACTCAGATTCAGTCTGATACCACAAGAAACCCCAAATGTTCTGATGTCTTACAGAGGGAGATGTACACATGATCTGGTGTAGAGGTCCTGGCTAGGAATTCTGGGTATTGCAATCCAAACATATCTAAACAACAGCAGTTTGTGGGATTATCAAGTCGATATAACATGGTTAGTTTTTAGGGGTGTTTATAGGTAGTATGTATTACAGAATGTATCTATTAGGAACTTGGAGTCTTGAGTCACTTGATGCAACCTGGTACCCTGTGTATATATTTCATTTCCAAGAAAGATGGGAGTTCAGACATGAAATTATAGGAGTTGCAGTCTAACTCATCTGGAGCTGCTAGGTCAGGAAAATTTGCTTTACAATCATCCTTCAAGGTAAGCATTAATATTTATTTACATTTTGTTAGATCTTTATCTTGCCCTTCATTCAGGAGCAAAAGCTGGTGTACGTAGCACTCCCTTCTTTCCTCCTTCTATTTGCATTGAATTTTTGTTTTGCAATCATCAGCAGTCTTGAGTGGGTATGGTTCAGGAAAGTGGTTTTAAATATCTATATTTAAGCAGTTGCAACCTTTTCTGGACCAGAAGACTTAGCTCATAGTTCATACCTTAGTGCCCTCTCCATTGGACTGCTACAATTCGCTCTACATGGGGTTGCCCTTGAACAGCATTCAGAAACGGTAACTGGTCCAGAATGCAGATGGCTGAGTAGTCATGGGTGCTCCTTGTTGCAACCATATAACACTGCTACTCTGGGAGCTGTGCTGGTTAATAGCTGGCTTCTGGGTACAATTTAATATGCTGCCTATCACCTTTAAAGTATAGCATGGTTCAGGGTTTTCTCACAATAACATCTACCCAACTAGTAAGGTCAGATAGAGTGGGCTCCCTTTGTGTCCCCTTGTTCAGTGAGTGTCATCTACAGAGGCCACAGAAGGACATGCCTTCTCTATTACTGTCCCCTCCTTTGAACAGCATCCTCTGGCCATCTGAACGCCTCCTTCCCCATTGCCATTTAGAAAGTCCATAAAGTCTTCTAGCAACCCTGGGAGGTTGAAAGAGGTGTCCATCCCTCCAGTAATGGAAATGGGTTTAATGAGAGCAAACTGGAACTAGTGCCAGGACCTTAAGTTGCAATTTTATGGTTTTATTTTTTTTTAAATTCTGTTTTGTTTTAATCCAAGACAAGGAGGGGGCATTGTGCACTGCTCAGAGTCAGTAATGATTGATCAGCCTGTATGTGCTGTGAAATTAATAAAAATGTTTAAAATAAATACAGTTTAATAATACAATTTTTAAATACATTTTTAAAAGGGTATGCTTTATCAAAACAAATGGACAAAATGTTGCATGTATTAACAGGGAATTAATATAGGGTAGAGCAGTGTTTCTCCGTCCTGACAACTTTAAGATGTGTGGATTTCAACTCCAAGAATTCCCCAGCCAGCCTGGGATGGAAAATGTTTGACAGCCTCAGACTACTCAGATTTTGGTTTCAAATAAGGAGAAGAAAGAAAAAGAGAGGAGAAAAAAACAAAACAGAGAATTATCTGGCTATACAAACTTTATGAAGCCAGAGTGGAAGATGCCCTGATTCACTCTGGGACAACTGCTTTTGTTGAACTGCAGCCCAACAGTAGGAATCCACGTATGCAGCCTGACGCCAAGAAAATGCACTCGGAGAAAAGCAGCTCATCTGGGTACCTAAGAAACAAAGCAGAACACGTTGCCGAAAAAGGAGGTCACACAAGACATAAAGCAAAGAAGTAGTATTTAGAATAATGTATATATGCAACAGGATCAGATAGGAACACCTTTCCCTGGAGGAAAAAAAAAACCCATAGAATATGGCACATGGATATCACACGTGCCTGAATTTTGGAATACTTCTTCATGGGGCGGGGAAAAGAGAATGCCCGTGGGAATGCAGGATGCCTCGTCTTGCACCTAGCAGGCTACTTTTATTCTGGGTAGACAATTCAATGCTATTAACCATGTATAAGCTTACCAACCCAGGATCTGAAATCCACTACAGTTTGGTTATCACAGAGGCCAAAAAACGGGGTGTGGCACAGCAGATATGACTTTTATGGATGTATACCACCTAGAATCTTTCAAGGAGGCAGCATATCCAAAGGTATATATGTATAAATGAATAAACTGAAGGAGAACCCATAAGAAAGGAAGGCAGATTTTGTCAGCCCAGCAAGGTGAACCAGACTAGGAAACCAGTGCCATGTAGGTCAGGATTACTTTCATTGTAAAAGCTATAGTTAACAGAATCCTGCAAGTTTGAATGTGCTTCTCCCTCCCTCACTTTATCTTCATGTGAAATAAGGAGGGGCTTGTCTGAGACATTTTCTCATATTGTTTTCTTGGCCCGGGATCAAGCCCGTCTTATCTGACCATTGGTTTGGTAGCAGCTATTCCTCCTGTCCTTCAAGGCCATTCCCTATGTCCTCTACAGATTCTTGAACTTGCCTCCTAAGCTATTGATAAGAGACAACAGGGAACCAGCATCATAGCTGCATTACTTAAATCATGTCATACTATTGTCTATTTTCCTACTGTTCAAAGACCCAACTAACTGGGAATTATGGGAATTGTAATCCATCTGGAGACTTCCAGGGTAGGGAAACTCTTACATGTTTTTAAAAAATTAAATAATTACCAGCGAGTGCTATTTTTTCTGTACAATCCCTCCTTCTATAGTACCTAGTATTTCTGAGTTTACTAGTGTTGGCTGAATCCACATACATGCAGATTTGTTTATGTACAAGAGAACTTCCATTTATTACTGTAAAGATCGAAACCAGAGAATTGTAACCTGCAATTTAAATTGCAGAAAACAGCCAAGGGATGAATATTACATATTGCTACAGTAGGAAACAAAGAAAGTTTAGAGGTTCTGTTGCAAATGGAATTCAAAAGGTTAAGAGTGATTCATGAGTCACGTGAGCTTCCTTTTATTGCAAAGACAACTGTCGTACTATAATCAAAGTGGTCATGGATTGATCATAGACAACAGTAACTTTTTGTCTGAGTCCACAGAGGGTTAAAATAGGCCTCGTCAACGTGGCACGGGCCCAACGATTCTTTTCTTCCGAAAAGTCAGGCAGTGTGGAGAAGGGGAAGAGAAGGGGGGTGGTGTATGGAGAAGAGCTACAAAATGTATGCTGTCATTCTAGGCATAAGCCCAAGAACTAAGTGTATGAGATGCCAAAATACTTAGGCGACCTTCTTGCTCTATTAATGTTAAGGCATAATGTTTGAAAAACAACACTGCAATCTTGTACTCGTAAGGGTACAGCTTTCAAGATTACTTCTGAGTCACTACTAATCATGCATATATAATTTTAGAGTAGCATAAGCCAATTATTCAGCTCAGCTAATAGTTCAAAAGGCGGGTATCCCTTCTTTTTATTTTTTCGCAATGTGATTATGTACAACCATTTTCTTATTTAGAATTGCAATGCTATTGCAATGCTGTTGCAATGAGAATCAATAAGAAAGGTGAGAAAAGCCCATGATAAAATGGGCTAAACATTTTGGATATAATATATAGTGGGACAATGGGAAAATATGTGGATGAAAGGGCTGAAATTTACATTATGCTATGATCTTAAAGAGAATTTTTGTAAAGTGATGTATCGATGGTGTGTGTCACTGGAAAGATTGTCAAAAATGTATAAAGGGGCTTCAAATATATGTTGAAAATGTGAACAACAAGAAGGGACTTTTTATCATCTTTGGTGGACATGTGATAAGGCCAAACATTTTTGGACTCAAATACACATATTAATTCAGAAGATTTTAAAGATTAATATACAATTGAAGCCAGAGACATTTCTCTTGGGGCTGATGGACAAACAACTGGAAAAATCTCATGGAATTTTGTTTTTATCTATGATAACTGCAGTGAGATTTTTAAAGTTTATTAACTGAGTAACAGCAAAGATTTTGACTTCCTCTTATCCTCAATAATCAGATCGTATCTTAAATATGTTGGTTTACTCAAGAGTTAATCCCCTGACTTTAGTGGTGCTTGCTTCTGAGCAAATATGTCCAGATTGTTTTGTGAATAACTAGCTTACCATCTTAAATATATTAATAATCAACAATTAATAATGAAGAGGAAAGAAGGGAAAACATTGGTTAATCACTATTTTTCCTTCTTCAAAACTATTATTATTATTATTATTAATTTATTTATTTATTTCTACGTCAGGGACCAGTCCCATAGGAGTCCCATAGGAATGACTTGGTACCTAAAGCAGGAAGATGCTGTCATAGTTAATCCTAGGCCAGAATTCCCCAGCCAGCACGCCCGCTGGCCTAGGCAATTACCTTTGTCATGAAGGTATTTCTGCAGTTATTTCATAGAAGGATGAGGCACAGCTACCCTCTTAGGTTTCTCTCATAGCTACGGGTTGGGTCATACAACCTTACTGAACTGGTTATTGAATCTTCCTCCTGCATGTCCAGTGCAATGATGCCCTCACTGCACCTGAAGGCAGCAGTTTATCTTAGAACGTGCGCATAGGCATTATGGCACACTGTTTTCACTTTAGATCTCTTGCTGCTGCCACACTGCAGAATTTGCTGCCTCCAGGCACCTGTTCCCTTTGCTTAATGATTAGAGTTGGCCCTGCCAAGAAACCATCACTCATTATAATCAATACAGAATAATGAAATGTAAAAGGAAGCTGCCACCTAAACAGTGATGTCCTTGCATCTTATATGAGCTACATCTACACATAACACAAAATCTGGATCTAAACCATAATTTATCAAATAAGCCTTAGGGGCCTAGTTCACACATACAAATACAAGCAAACCACAGTATGGTTTATTGCAATGCGTGGACTTGTCTCTGCTCATCTACCAAAACAAGCTACTGACTGACAACCCATTAGTACCAGTTTGCCGGTTTTCATGTACAGCATAGACATTTGCACTCTCAGGGAGTCTACAGATGTTAAGCAAGTAGAGCATTTTGCTCCAAAAATGATCCAGTAATAGTCAACCAATGGCCAACCAGATGCCTCTTGGAAATGTGAATATGTTGGTTATATTTTGCATAATATGAAGTGTGGAACCTACAGATATGAGATGCAGAAAAGCTTCTAGTCACACAGCATGCAAAGGAAGAATGAATGCTAAGGAATCTGCTCAGAGATTGAATAAAAAATGAGGAAATCTGATGACAGACTGATTTCAAAGATGTCATAAAAATAGCACTAAAATGGAAATATAAATGGGCAGGGCACATTGTATATTTACCTGACAAAAGATGGACTTAAAAAGTGACATGGTGGTGGTCCTTCAATTACACATGTCCACTTGGATTACCTTCTAAAAGATGGAGAGATGGACTACAAAAAGATCTCAGTCCCACTTGGAACTCCATAACAAAAGACCAAACAAAATGTAAATATCTGTTGAAGTCAACACTTCAGATATCATAGTCTGTGATTTAAGTATGTTGTGAGAACCCAGCCACTGTCTTAGCATGTTGTGTGGAACCATTCTACTAGAGTCATAACATTGTTGACTTGTTTGGACAGAACATGTTATGTGACACAGCAATTGTGCTTTGTTAATCCTGTTTAGGATGTTGTATGTACTCTGTCAAAGTGTGTACAACATATAACCTCCCAGTTGTCACTGAATTGCAATTCCTACAGCTCCAGACAGCAGTCAGTAGAATTCTGAGAAACATCTGGAGGGCCATATCATACCATCCATAAAAGTCCATACACCTTCCATGATATTAAATACCTATGTCATGTTTGATTAGCTCTACTGACATCTAAAGCCAATGCCAATTTGCAAGATCGATAGATAATAGATAGATCATATAAATATGATAAATAAATAAATAAATCTCTATGGGCCATAAAACTGATAAACTAATTCCCCAAAGAGGTGGAATAATATAATCAACTGCATCTTCTGAGAAACCAGATGCTAAATAAAAATCAGAATGTCAAGCTCCAAAAAAAGTATGAGAAATGGGATAGGAAAAAGTAGGGGCAATATAACTCATTCAGGAGGACCAAGGCAGCTTTAGGGAGCTGGATTATTGGAAAAAAGGTGGCAGTTGTCAGATACCACATAGCTGGAGAGCAACTTGAACTTTGTACTCCCCAGCATCTGGAATTTCAATCCTCCCTAGTGAAATATGAACTTCATCAGCTGCAGAAATTCATCATTCCCAATTCATGGAAAGTCCCAATGCCTATTCTTAGTGGAGTTAAAAAAAGATCAGCTGCAGCATTAACAGAAATGCTGGAAGGTTCTAGGGAGTTTCCAGATTTTCACTATGCTTTGGTGTGTTTATATATATTCTTCAATCTTGTTAGCAAAAGGTTTGCTGAGAGTTTTCAGCTGTGGAGATATATTCATTGGGTCATCCATCAGCTAATCCATAGCATGTTTTGTTTTCAGCTTGGTGTGATGTGTGAGCCCATAGAGCTAGATGGATAGTCCAGTCAAATGTATATATTCATGGAAATAACATGCAAAGGTGTATACATTAAGGACAATTGTTTGCAAATGATATATTAGGCAACGTTACAAGACGAAATGCATATATGAAGAATTGCACTTCAGATGCATGCTGGCTTTAGGGCAAAATTAAAATAAAATTAACCCAACAGAGTCACAGAAATCAAGATATTTGGCCAGGATTACGATGGAGTGTTCCTTTTCAGAATTTCAGCTAGGCAGTCATAGTTTTTCTAGATATTCTTTATATATATTCCATTTCCCTCTTGGTTTTCTAATTATTTCAACAGCCTGCAGTGTTCTGCAGTCACTGAGCATTCTCAAGTCTCACTGTACTATTGGGCAATTTTTCTTCCATTTTAAGTGTCTCTCATTCAGGTTGCTGTTCTTCTGTAAACCTGGAACTGCTGGAACTTCATAATATTCCATATTTTCGGAATGACTTTGCTCTATAAGATGAATATCATACATTTTCAAGAGTGAAGTGATAGTGCAAATAAGTTACGCCAGAAGGCAAACTTTGGGTGATCTTGAAAAACTAAGCAGAGTTTAATTTGTTTAGTAGATGGATTAGAGACCACCAGGGAGTCTCAGACAACTTCCCAGAAAGCAAACCAATTGTGTATTATTGACAAGAAAACTACAATGAAGTGTCCATGAAGTCACCAGGAGTAACTTACTTTAAACCAGAGTATTTAGAATGGCCCTAAAAATCACATTTAATCAACTGCTGAGTGTAAATCATTAGGTTAGGGATTTGCAAAGAACTGAATAAGAGAAGGAATTTCAGCACTACACAAACAAGCCACTTTTAAAACCTCTACAGCTGAGCAGAGAGTCATACTTCTCCCTGCAGCTCTTAAAATTATAGATGCTCCCCAAAATGAGAGACAAGCTTGCTCTTTTAGAAGAACCTGCTGCCTTCATGTCTTGGCCTAA